TGGATCTCTTTGTGCTCTCAAATAAGAGGGACCACTGATCTCATTGGGTGTGTGGCTGTTAGGTGCTAGGTGATTAATTTTAACAAATTCTTACCTGGTATTCTAACCTAGCCCACTATTTCTAGCTCATACCCAAATCTCTTGGTTTTTAAAATGGCCATGCTCTTTGACCTTCGTCCTTATGTTTTTTTAAAATGTTTAAAATGTGAGCTTTTAAAAAGCTAATCAAATGTAGCTATTATTACAAATGAACCCTTGCCTTCTTTCCCTTTCTTCTTCTTACACCCAGTCTCACTAAAGGGTACAGCTACCCCTTAGGACCCTCCTCAGACTCCAGAGTTTCTAAACTGCTTAACTCATCCTTTCCCAGATATTCTGACAGTTGTTTATAAGCTTGGCTGCAAATTGAAATCACCAAGAGAGGTTTAACAACACTGCCTGACTTAGTTGGTTTGGAGTGCTGCCTGGGCACTGGGATTGGAAAAGCTCTCCAGGTGCTTCTGAGGTGTCCCTTTGGTTGAGAGAAATCACATCTAGTCCTTCTGTCACTAGGGTCTTTAGAATCCCTCCAATGAACTCCCCAGATTCCTTGAAATTTTCCATATAGCTCCTTAAATTCACAAAGATTCTGCTTCTGCTTGATGACTCAGAGTTCTCATAATGTTACCCATTAATGGAAACATCTCCTTAATTTTACGGTCCTTTGGACTTTGCAAGCCTGTTGTATGTGTCATTTCTCTGTTCCCAACACTGTGAGGGGCATTCAGAGCTAAGATGAGGCAGTGGAGCTAGAGCAATGGTCTACAGAGTGAAGGCTAGGGCCACCAGGTTTAGCAATACTCACACATATACACACACCCAAAATAACCCTACCACAACAGGATACCTAGTTAAATTGGAATTTCAGATAAACAATGAATAATTCTTAGTATAAGTATGTTCCATGCAATATCTGGGCACCTTATACGAAAAAAAAAAATGTTTTATCTAAAATCCAAGTTTAACTGGGCATTTTGGATTTATGTGGCAATTCCACACTCAGTGCCCATTCCTCTTCTGAAGGTCACCGTTCTCTCACCTTCCCATGATCTCCCAACAACTTGACCTCGGCTCTCAGCCCACATTTTTCCTGTCCTCTACATGGCTAGCCATTATCCTCAGCAAGAGCCTCTTTTGTATATTAGAATCTATTTGCATCTCCTTTCTTTTTCACTCCTAATTGCCTTTCTGAGGCCTAAATTATTTATAAGGTCGGGTTGGTTTAAAGAGCACAGTCCAGCATTTCCCGTGTACTCTCTGTGTGCCAGGCACTGCATTCAGCTCGTCGTGCTCACTATTCCAATTATGCTTTTTAAGATCCCTGGAGGTAGGTACCATTTCCTAGGTCCCTACATAGAACCATTTCTTTTTTAAGATAGAAAAACAGAGGTTTGGAGAGATTAAGGGACTCCTCAAGGTCATGCAACTTGAAAGTGCCAAAGTTGAGATTTGAACCTGGGGCTGATCCTTTCTTCATAACTAGCATTCTAGAAAAACAAGATGATACTAAGAGCCTTGTGGCTTTGCTATTCATGTTTTCTGGCTTGTTCAATTTAACTTTCTGAAGCTCCTGGGATTTGGAATAACCATTGAATAAACCATTTTTATTCCATGTGGGTGGCTCGGGAGATTTAAAATGTTGACTCACATAGCAATCCATAAGATACATACATATTCTTAGAAATCTTATTTTTAACCCTGAAAAAAAAGAAGTGTCACCTCAAGGCTCTTAAGACTTCACCAGCCATTGCTAGCAAAGTAAACACTAAATCAACCCAGGCACAATGTTCTTTAAACACATTTGCTGAGGATAAGGGGCAAATAGTTTATGCTGATTCTGGGTAGCTGGCCACAAATTTGTGTCAAAGAGGCTTTTCTTCAAAGTGTTCCATCTTTTTTGGTACAAGCTGCTCCTGTGCTTTGGCATAAATATTTGTGCAATTAATGTATGCTGGCAAACATCTCAAGAGGAAAGCAGGCTTCTTCATGCCAAGCAAAATTGTAATTAGCAGCACAAAAGAAAAAGAATTTGTCCCTTTCATCTCAGTGCTTGAAAAACTGTCAGCACCTAAGACAGCTGGAAAGACACCTAAGAAAGCTGGAAGCTTCAGAAAAGATAATTTGCAAAAGCTGATTTTCCTGAGCTTTTAAGATTGGTCCTATAACCCTAATATAAAAAACATTCACTTGAGAAATAGTATTCATTCCCTTCTCTACTTAACATTAATCTAGTTAATATTAATTATGAAAGGTATTTAATACAATCTAGTTAATATTAATTATGAAAGGTATTTAATACAATCTAGTTAATATTAATTATGAAAGGTATTTAATACAATCTAGTTAATATTAATTATGAAAGGTATTTAATACAATCTAGTTAATATTAATTATGAAAGGTATTTAATACAATCTAGTTAATATTAATTATGAAAGGTATTTAATACAATCTAGTTAATATTAATTATGAAAGGTATTTAATACAATCTAGTTAATATTAATTATGAAAGGTATTTAATACAATCTAGTTAATATTAATTATGAAAGGTATTTAATACAATCTAGTTAATATTAATTATGAAAGGTATTTAATACAATCTAGTTAATATTAATTATGAAAAGTTGCTTGAAAAATGCCAGTAATGTTGTGGAAGGGAACATTTTGCTTCGTGGTATGGACAAGGTACGGGAGGAGCGGGAAAACATGAGTGGCCCATCTTGTCTAGAAATGATTTCCTAAGTGCATCATGCAAGAGGAAGAGGAAAGAGGTGGCTTGCCGACACCAGCTGGAGGAAAAGCCAGGCACCTGGCCCCATTCGCCGAAAGCTGCTGCTAGTCTGCTCTTCCTCACCTTCCTCAAAAAGTTGCTCTGAGCTTGAAGTTCCTAGGCAACCTCTGGAAGTTCCTGGGCAAGCATGCCCCAGCTCTGAGCACAGTTATGCCCCGAATCCTTTGCCTTTCAATCTGGGGATAGGATGGCTAGCCGATTCTGTGAACCACCAATGCACTGCTGGCCCTTTGGTCGCTTTTCCAGCTGAATTTAATTCAACTGTTTAATTTGCTGTCACTCATGCAAGTCTGTAAGGGAGGCTTTTGGTATAAAGCATGTTGTCCTAGGACTACCTGTACCAGAATCTCCAGGCAGATTGGTTAAACATGCAAATTCCTGGTCTCCACCCCAGACCTATTGACTAGCAATGGGAATGGGGTAGGGTGTAGGAATCTGTTTCATAAGCAGATCCTCCAGGGATCTGCATATTTGCAGGCAGCCTAAAGCTTTAGAATCAGTAAAGTAACCATCTTCTACCCACTAATCATAACTTCCTCTCCTCTGCCTTATACAACTGAAGCTGGAACTAGCAACATAGATCAAACCTAATCAGCCATTTATACTTCCCTGTCGGTCCCAAATCCTTCCTGAATTCATGCTATTTGCTTGGGTCAGACCATCAAAGCTCAAGAAATACTAAACCTTGTACAACTGCAGCCATAACCCCATGTGCCTTTCAAATTTAAACGCTTGGACACAGTTTGGCTTTAAATGCTTAAAACAAATGTGTTAGAAAACTGCAGTATCATAAATATTTATAGTGCCATATAAACCAAAACTCACACCAAAGCCAACTCATCATATTTGGCTTTTGTGTTTTCAAATGTTGGTCATGAACTTTTAGAGGGCTATCCATGCCTGAGTATATAAGCTAATGGAGTTTTCATGTCAACCATCAGTACTGCAGTGGTGGCTGGGGCTTTCCAAATACATCGTTGGTGTATTTGTATCAATGATTTATTAATCAAAAAGAATTATTTGCTGCCCGATCCAAAACAAAGCACGGAGGTCTATCAAAAAAGTGATCTATGGCCTGAGGGTGCACTGGCAGGGAGAAGGAATAATTCTCCAGGTGTTCAATGGACTCTGAAGACAGACCAAGATCCGAGGATCCAACACACAACAGCTCCTGCCGCCAACAAAGACACACCAAGAATGGCTCCCTTAATCCCAATCTGTTTATGAGGACATTTTAAAGGCTACAATTCACATTTGCAGACACTTTGAGAACATATAAACAATCCTATGATATCACTCAGCAAAGACTTATTTAAAATGCTGACAGGTGTAGAAAGTAAAAAGTACCTCATGTATATTAAGGGTATCATGTAGAAAAGAGTTTGGCTGAAGGTTAAGAGATGCGTGAAACCATGTCTTTCATGAAAGTTCCAAAATATGTGTTTTTTAAATCCTTTTTAGCACATACTATGCTATCAGCTCTGTGTGCAGTGCAGAAGGGAAACAAAAATGTATAAAAATATGTCTCTTGCCCTCAAAAGAAAGCTTCTCAAACAGTATTGAGCATATGGATCACCTGGGATCTGGTTAAAATGCAGATTGTAGTTCAGCAGGTCCGGGGTGGGGCCTGAGAGTCTGCATTCTGACCTGCTCCCAGGGGATGCTGATGCTGCCAGTCCATGCACAGATACTTGGGGTGAAAGATACTAAAACGTTGAGAAGGTGAATAGCGTAAAAGAACCTTTTCATCTGAATATATCTGAAGAACTTGTAAGGATCACATTCCTCCCGAAATGACTGATCCCTAGGCTACTGCTATCTGTCCCCTGGCCTATTAACACAGATGAATTGCTGCTATCAACTGGTGATCACCACAGCTTCTCACCTGGCCAGATGTTTTCAGGAAAAGGGCCTGGAAGATGAAAAGCTAGAGAGAAAGGTATGCTCCCAGGAAG